ATTATGAAAACCTACTGTAGAAGTTATATCCTTTTAGCCGGATCCCAACCCTTGCAGATGGGTGTTATTCATCCCCTTTTACAGAGAGTGCGCTGAGCTTGGAGACATTGAGGCTGGTGTGGAAGGTCACACTGTAAGTGGAAGAGATGGCTTCTAACTCGATTCCCTCCCACTCCAGATGAGGTCCCAGAGAACCAGTTCTAAATGAGACAAGTGAAGCTGAGGATTACAAACAAACCCATTTTAAAAAATTAGAGCAGAAAAAAAAAATCAGTCTAGAATTGAGAACAGACTCTTGGATGAGAGAGCCTCTTGATAAGTTCTTTCTGTTTTAAATTTCCCTGCAATCATTATGCACATGCATGTATACACATATGTGGTAATTTTATATACGTGTCACAGACGGAAATCAGTCTCCTACAGCTGTTATGTCTACTGAATAAATAATGTATTGTGTAACCTACGATTTTTCTAAAAGGAAAGACCTATACTTCAAGATGGTTGAAATTAAGATGGAAGTTTGTATGCTTAAAATTCTATATTAAGGCTGCCATCATCAACTTTTTACCCCTTTTATTGTCTCTCATTTAGAAGTATAAAAAAAGCATTAATTTCTAATTTCTTGTTCTTGATTTGAGTCTAGGTCCTTCAATTCTGGGAAGCAATGTTGAAGGCATTCTGAAACTTTAATTGTGAAAAGCAAACTGACCCTCAGGGCCAAATCCCTATAGAAAGCTTTGTAACTTCATCTCAAAATTATTCTGTCTGGATTATACTTCATATGCAAAAATACTTAATGTTTTCAACAGCAGTAACACTGGTTTCTAGGGTTTTCATCTTAAATTTTCCTCTGATAAATGATTCTACACTGGAGAATGGAGGACAAACTACAGAAAGCAAATATAAATTAATGCACTACATCATATTTGCCTACAGTAATGCTGTAATTTTCAGGAAAAGAGCAAGTTCTAATCTTTTGTCGTCTTTCACTCACTCAGCCCCTTAAAAGCACATGAAGTCCCTGGGTGGTACAACAGTTAACACACTTGGCTGGTAACTGTAAGGCTGGAGGTTCCAATCCACCCACAGGCATCTCAGAAGAAAGACTTGGCGATCTTCCAAAAAATCGGCCATTGAATACCCTTCGGAGCACAGTTCTACTGTGATACACAACGAGTCGCCATTGAGTCAGAATCGACTCAACAGTAACTGGTTTATTTTAAAGGCACTTAAATCACAGCAACATTTGTGTTTTCAATCAATTAACAACAACAACAAAATTCAAAAGGCAAAAAAGTTTTTAAAATTTGTTTAGTTTACATAGAGAGATTTTTGAATTAATGGGCTGAATGAAAACAGCCGAACTCCGGCTTTTCAAAAGAAATGTGGCAGGATGGTATGTCCTTAAGGATCTCTCTCATCGGAGCAAGTGGGAGGAGGATTAAAGCTGAGTGATGAGGACTGGTGGTGTCGTTTGTTTGCACGTTTTATTCCTCCTTGCTATGTTTAGCTGCCCCTTTTAAACATGAAACGGCCCTCAACTTTGAGCGTAAAGGGCATGCCTTCCCCAGCGGCCAGGACTAGACCCACGACCCAGCTCCTGGTTCGTTCTCTGGGCAGGCCCCGGGACTCCGCACACTTCCTTGGTTTTTTAAAAGCTACTGCAACCGCCCTCGCTATGCTCTGGGATTCCTCTGCTCAAAATAAGTCCCGTTGTAAAGTTACGCAGTTTCCTCAGACGTTTTGACTTTTGCTCCAGAGATAAGAGAAATAAGCAAAATGGGGGAAGTGACCACATTTTTTAAAAACCTAGAAAGTTCACTTGGCCATTCCTGCCAGTGCATTATTTACTTAGCAATAACTCAGGACCCTTACCACTGGCTGACTTCTCCTTCTGCCAACTGTAACCCCTCCCCGCAGATTCCCATGAGCACCCTCTGCACATCTCGCGAGAAGAGCCCCGCACTGGCCGCTGTAGTATACACTTACCACATATGCTAATGAGGCAGGGGTGACACACGGGGGGAAAAGCAGGCTAAATAAATGAGAAGTCTCAATTCTGAAATACGTTAAAAACAAACTTCTTCCTTTTAAGCATTTAGGAAGTATAAGCAACTAAAAGCAAATGGGTTGTTTATTAAACTGCTAACCCACTTGAATGAATTGCTGAGGATCTGTGTGGTAGAGACACTCCAACTTTCTGCCAGAGACCACTGTGAATTTGCCAGAAACAGACAAAGCCCTTAAGTAAAAAGGTCAACAATGAGAGTGCTATTACTGGGAAAGGGTTCCCGGGTGGTGAAAACAGTTAACAAGCCTGGCTGCTAACTGAAAGTTTGGAGGTTTGAGTCCACCCAGGGGCATCTCGAAAGAAAGGCCTGGTGATCTACTTTCAAAAGATCACAGCTATTGAAAATCTGTGTTGCGAAGTTCTGCTCTCACACATGGTGCCACCATGAGTCAGAATTGACTCCTCCATAGTAACTTGGTTTTTTATTTTACTACTGGATAAGGGTAGAACTGAGAAGAGAACTTACAATTCCAAATTCTTTCAGATTCCAACTTTTAGCACCGTTTAAACTTATCTCCCTTTGTCCAGTCCATTTGGAGGCCTCTGCCCTGACTTTTGTCTCTGCTTTCTAATCTTCATGGTTTCTTCAGGCTGGCTTTCTGAAAGAACGTAAATCCGAATTGTTAACAAAACAAGGAGAAAATAGGGTCCCAGAACTCTTGAAATCAATGTGTAATCATTAAAGAGAGAGGAGCCCTGGTGGCGCAATTGTTAAGGGCTCTGCTGGCAACAGAAAGTTCGGAGGTTTGAAGCAACCAGCCACTCAGCGAGAGAGAGAAGTCACAGTCTACTTCCGTAAAGAGTCCAGAAAAAAAAAAAAAAAAAAAAAATCCACAGCCGTCAAGTCCATTCCGACTCATAGCAACCCTGCAGGACAGAGTAGAACTGCCCCATAGGGCTTCCAAGGCTGTAAATCTTTATGGAAGCAGATGGGTCGCTATGAGTCAGAATCAACCTGACGGCAACAAGTTTTTCAATGGGGTTGATCATGAAAGAATGAACTCAAGGTCAGTTTAATAGAGGAAATATTTAATTTGCTGAGCTTCTAGGAACTTAAACTATCAGACATGGCAGGCTAGCTTGAAGGTGAGTGCTGCAGAGTAAATAAGCTAAGCCAAAACATGTTCGTCTTAATGGTATTCTCTCCACTTTGGATGTTGATATTTTTGTTACATTTTAACTTTTCCAGCGGCAGAAATCAGTGGCATCCGTAGGATGGTGCGGGGACTGCCGACCTCACTGGGTGACACTGTCAGAGGGGGTGACGCCAAAATGACTGTAAAATTTTTGTGCAATTTCAGCAGAAATTTATTATTTCTTTATAAGAATACCCCTGTAGTTAGTTATAACAACAAAAATGTTTTCGTAAGCCCAGCTTACATGTATCAACACACCAACAAGGCTAAAACTCTATGCTAATTTACTTTTTGAACCTTCTAATGTGCTGTCATTATCCAATTACAATGACGCTTCGAATTACACAGTTTCGGCTGCACTCCTACAAGCACGCGCTGTTGTTTTCATTGCTGCCGGTATTTTTAGAGTCGCTGATTTTGTCAAATTTTCTGGTTTTTAGCTACAATATTGTGGTAATTAGCATGGGGGGGTGACACCATGAGTTACTGCACTGCGTGACACCAACCCTAGTGATGTCACTGGCAGAAATGATAGAAGAGGCAAGGTTTCCAGGCTCCCAGATGGACACAGAAAGCTAGTGAATTTCATCCTTGGAATCAGCGGTTCTGGGCTTTCTCTCCTACATGCAGCGATACACTAGATACAGCTGCAAGCGAAGACTTTCCCTGGAACCATCATGAACTAACGCGAAAAGTTCAGATGCAGAGAAAATGTGCAGCAACCATCTGTTTTTCTGTCAGTGTTCCTTTTTTTGAAAGAAAAAAAAATTAACAGACTTTAAACTATTTCTCTTGGGTGCAAATTATACCCTACAGGCTCTTTTATGTTGCTTTACTGCAAGGAAGATGTACTTACTTGAACTTTTTAATTTTGCTACTGAATTTCTCCAGTTTTTACCAAAATTGAAAAAAATCTGAGGCTGTTGCTAATGATGCTATATGTTTGGAAAGACCATGTAGCATTCACTAAAGTTAAAAACTCATTCCATCTATTAAAGTGAACTTTTGTTTCAATCACAGTATTTAATGGCAACCTAGAAAAGCAGCAAAAATTATACGGTCTTGACTAAGAGAAGCGAGCACTCTCCATACCTCTACGTTTAAAAAAAATCATCAAGAATGCTGCATTGGGCAAGGCAGACCGAGATCAGGGATGAGCAAACTCAAGCCCATGAATTAAATCCAGTCCACTGGTGGTTTTTGTATGGGCCCAGAGCTATGGTTTTTTTTTTTTTTTTCCGAATGACTCAAAAAAAATAACGTGTCATGACATGTGGAAATTATATCAAATTTAAATTTCACTGTCCCTAGATAAGGTTTTATTGGAAGATAGCTACGCTTGTTTACATGTCAACTGTGCTTTCCCGCTACTACAGCAGAGCTGTTGGATCATTGCAACAGAGACCATATGACTTGCAAAGCCTAAATATTTATTATCTAGCCCTTTACCAGGAAAAAAAAATTGCCAAACCCTGGGCTAGGTGATCTCTAAGTTTAACGAGTTTCAACTGCTAACTGAAAGGAGCCTCAGAAAACAGGCTTAGCAATCTACTCCCAAAAAGTCAGCCACTGAAAACTCTACGGAGCACAGTCCTACTCTGATACACACAGGGTTCGTATTGGTCAGAGTCAACTCGACAACAATTTTTTTTTTTAAGGTAAGTAGGAATTCTGTATCCAAAACAATCTAGGGAACACATTTATTGATCCCAAAAGAACTATCTCTTTTGTGTTGTTGACATTTCCACTGGAATATGTCAAATAAGACTCACTGACTCACAGAATATACATATAAACTTCTCAGATAGCAATCATTTTCAAATATTGCTTTTAAAAAGCAATATTTATGATTTTTAGCAATTTTATCAGATTAGCAGGCTTAATAAACCATCTGAAAAATTACTAACTAGAGAGAAAATGAAAAAAACCAACTCCCCTAGAAATTCACACCATAAAGCATTTATTAATAAGTAAAATTATTTTCCCCTGCCTTTGGTTATTAAAAAAAGAATGTGATTATAGTATCTTTGTTGATACTGATTGCTGTCAGTGACTTTACATTATTGTCAGGAGACAGAAAGATAGACATAAAAATGTGTAAAAGACCACACCTCACAAAGGTTTAATTACAAATCTTGGTTTGGCTAGCATTTAGAAATGTAATTGCAAATACTTAAACTTATTTTTTTTATATAAGTAAACAATATACAAATAAATTTGCTTGAATTTCATAAGTCACAACAATGGCAATGAATACAGTTCTTGCTGAGGAAAGAGGAACAAGAACAAAGACCCAACTTGTTGGTGGAAGAAAGGCAATCTCTCTTTGAAAAGCTCTTCTCCTGACTGAACAGTCCCTATTGCCTGAAAAAAGCCATTTTGATAATGAGAGTATAAAAAGCCTCATGATTTGCAACGTAAATCTGTATCTGTAGTTTAAATTTCACTCCAAGTTTCAGACTATGGCCAAAAAGCTATACTAAGAATTACTGTAAAGCATTTTTAAAAAATTTTTAATAGGTGAAACAAGAAAACATTTTATCAGATCTAGGCAGAAATACTGACCTTCATATAACTCTGGCGATTACCTGCACTCAGAACTATATAGAAATCAGGATCTGAAAGCCAAGCTATACCACATGGCAACATTAGAAGTAACTTGGAAAAGCAGCAGCTGATGGTTTGATTTACATTTTAAAAACATCTAATTATTGCATCTTCTCAGATGTCACTGGAAGGCCAGGAAATTCAAAGATACCCTCGAAGGGGATGAATGGTTTTATTACTACACCACCCACTCTTTCAAGATTAAAATAATCCTAGAGTTCTGAAATGTCTTCATTAGTTAAGTGACTATACAATTTCTTTCAGTCTCTTTTTAATGTAGAAAATCACTTCATAATACGATCTCTACAGAAGATAAAAAAGCACAATCACAAAATAGACAAAAAAATACATATATATTTTATACACTGAAATTAAGATGTGCCTGTGAAATACTGAGATCAATGACGAATTTCAGAGTGTTCAAGTTGGTTTCCTTTTATAATGGCCACGTAATTTATGTCTTCCTCTCAACCTTGGGTATTTATTAAAAAAAGGCCCAAGTAAAAAGGTAGGTAGGTCACAGCAATTCTGATCTTGTGGAGATAAAAACAAAATAGAAATAATAATAATAATGATATAATAAAACCCTTAATCTTTCAGTTTACACGATTCTTTTGATACCTGTACCTCGGGGGCACTTAAGGGCTCAGGCATCTGTCACTGTGTAACCATCAGAAACAGCAGAGGCAGCTCCAGTGAATGTGCTTTTCCATCATCCATCAGTCAGGCACTTGGATGGAACATCCAGAAACGCTGAGGCAGAGATATTTGCACGTGGTATGGGGCAAATGCACCCATCATAAGGAATCGTGCCACAAATGCCATCGACATGCATGGCCTCTCACAACAAGGCATCTCTGCAGGTTGGCTGTCTGCATCTCTGACCCTCTTGGGAGTTACACCGTCACCACCGGGAACATCTTCTGCTCACTGGTAGTGTGGGGGAAAGGGGACTGGATCTGCCTGTAGCCAGTCTGCAGGCCGTCCATAAAAGGGGGCACGGGTGGCATGGGTACCGAGTCATGTTGCACCGTGTACCCCACATAGGACGGGTGCAGGTACTGCCCCTGGTGAGGCACGATCTGGGTGGCCTGCTGGCAGTTCAGCACGGAGAAGTTAGTGGGCATGTTGACATACACGTTGTTCATGGTCCCCTCTGGCAAGCAGCAGTTGGTCTGTGACCTCGTGGGGGGGCCCCGGGCGCCCGAGTTGGCGCTGGAGCTGGAGCTAGCAGCTGTGCTAGACTGGCGAGAGGAAGACCCTCGGGATGTGCTGGCGCTGGGGATCATGGGGATGGTCTCCATCAAGCGGCTGCCCCCAGGGGCTCGGCTCTGCTGGGGTTCCTGCTTGGGCCGGAGGCATCTGCAGCAACAGGCTGCCACGAGGGACCCCAAGATGATGAAGGCAACAAACACGGAGCCCACAATGAGGAACGGGACGTAGATAGGCACTGAAGAAAAGAGCAGAGACACAAAATCATGACACTCTAAGAATGCAGTACGATTCTGTGATGAGCAGCATTTATACGCAGAGTGAGGGACAGAGGCTGGGCCAGTTTATTCATTCATTATCAGCCCACAACATGCTCTGCCCTTTAGCAGGTGCTTAGGAAAGCTGGAGTTCCTGGATGGTGCAAATGGTTAATGTGCTCAGCTGCTAACCGAATGGTTAGAGGTTTGAGTCCACCCAGAGATGCCTCAGAAGAAAGACCTGGGGATCTACTTCCAAAAAAGCAGTAAATGAAAACCTTACGGAGCACAGTTCTACTCTGACAGTCATGAGGTCGCCATGAGTCAGGACTGACTCAACAGCAACTGGCTGACTGGTTGGTAGAAAATGTGGTAAGGCCCTCTAGGCACGGTGTTCAGCTCTCCCAAAGCAGAAGTGCTAATATTTACAGTTAGACTCGCCATTGCAATATTGCTGGAGGCAAATATCCAACTTGGTTAAAAAAAGAAAAATCCATAAGCAATATGGATTTAATGTTTTAAGATTATTATGGCTCTAAAATTCCTACCATATCTGAACTGCCCAAACTTACGTCGGCCCTGATAAAACCCGAAAAACCAAACCAGTTGCCACTGAGTCGATTCCAACTTATAGCAACCCTACAGAACAGAATAGAACTGCCCCATAGGGTTTCTAAAGAGTGGCTGTTGGATTCAAACCACTGACCTTTTGGTTAGCAGTCAAGCTCTTAACCTTTGTGCCACTTGCCCTAATGGATAGGTGAAAAACGAAGATAGAAAAAATGATGCATTCAAATTGTGGTGCTGGCAAAGAATATTGAATATACCAGGGACTGCCAGAAGAACAAAACCTGTCTTAGAAGAAATACAACCAGAATGCTCCTTAGAAGTGAGGATGGCGAGACACTGGCTCGCTTACTTTGGACTTGTCATCAGGAAAGACCAACTGCTAGAAAAGGACATCATGGCTGGTAAAGTAGTGGGTCAGCGAAAACGAGGGAAACCTTCAATGAGATAGACTGACACCAGTGGGCTCAAACATACCAGTGATCATGAAGATGGCGCAGGACCAGGCTATGTTTAGTTCTCTTAGAAATAAGGTCGCCATGAGTTGGAGCCAACTCGAGGGCAACTAACAACAGACAGTTGTAGGATCTGCATAGTAACAATGAGTTTAAAAGTCTTTTTCTCCCCCAGAAAACTATTTACACTCCTTTACCATTTTTTAGCAAGTTCTTTTTTCACAGGCAAATGAATAAAAAAATTAGGTCAGACTCTAACCACTACTATTTCTCAACAGTCTGTAAGGTGCAGGAGGTCAAACAAGGGTTTAAAAAAAAAAATCTAAAATCTCTTGCTTAGCTAAAGTGCTAGCCCTTGGGTGGGAGGCCTAGCATAAGGCATTGAGCAGTGGAAAGGTAAAGTTACTTAGGGGTGGAGGAAGCTATTCCAGCCAGCAGACCACCACAAAAACATGTACTGAGAACAAATGTAGGGAGCAGCAAGCTCAAGGAAGCAGGGCCACCCACAGGGAGCCAAGAAGGCGCCCAAGTAAGACGAGGGGGGCTGAGGTGGAGCAGGGAAGCCTGAGGTTGGACCCGGGATTCTCTGTGAAGAACTGGGAAAAGCCTGGACAGCATAAAGCAATGGTCAAGATACATAATAAGTGAGGTTTATTTTGAAAACCTGTAAAAAATAAAAATAACCTTCTAGTAAAATCAATAGCATACTCCATTTTAAAATTAGATAGCACTCCAAGGCTTTCACAAGCTAGCCCCATAGGCTGATGGGGGCAGGACCAGGAGAAAGGCGCCTGCAGAATGCCTCTGAACCACTTGTGTGGAATTCCACCCTGGGCTATCCAGCACCTCAAGTTTCTGGTATGTTCCTGATGGATCTCCTTGACTCTTTGATTGAAAAATGCACGAGGACAGGGACTAGATCTTACTGGTCTTGGCAAAGCATGGTGCTAGCACAGTCATATGGGAAAGCCCTTTAGGAAGGAGAAAGAGTCAAGTTCTCCGGCACCTCTAAGGTCCGGTACTTTAAATCATTTGGCTGTCCATGGGAAAAATGAACTTCGTAATTATGCACCTTCTCACTGCTCTAGTCTTCCTGGAGTCAGTGCTTTTAGGATATAGTTCCACTTGGAGTCACAGAGAAACAATGCTGTACAAATAAAAAGTACTTTATAAGTACAAAGGCTGACGACTGAGTTCCAAAGCTGAACAGAGCAAGTACTATATAACCATATACCCACTGCTGTTCAGTCGATTCCAACTCATAGCGACCCTATATGACAGAGTAGAACTGCCCCATAGGGTTTCCTGCACTACCAGGGCCCCTAAATACCATACGGAGTGCCCCTTTAACAGGTAGAAACACTCGCTGCAGAATCTGCGGCACAGTTTTCCAAGAGTATTTCTGTTCTAATTATACTGTCACTTCAGGCTAACTAGAGTCTTGGAGCAGCGGCTGCTGGGCTTTTTCCCATGCATGCTATAAATACTTCATTCTCTAAGACACCAGCACCCCAAATAAGTTATCAAGGAAGTAAACAAATAACAGTAAAAGTGGTAAGAAAAATACCCCGAGCATGAGAGCAAAACCCAGCTGAAATCAGTGTAGTTCATAAGAGTTTTTTGGGAGAAATAACTGTTCTCTTCCCAGGATTTTTACTTGGTAGCATAAATACCTACACAGGGTAAAGAACGCTGAGTTAACTATCAGCACTCAGCACCGCTTAATTAGACAGTAGTTGTCCTTGATTGCAGAAAAGAATGGTGAGGAACAGAATTTTTAGGAAGAAAGGGTTTAAAAGTAGAATGAGGAACACACCCATGCACAACCCATGGTGTCAGAAAACCGTCTGCCCACTACTGATTTGTCCAAAGACCGCTGACAAGCCCAACTTAGCAGACACATCACTGCAGCAGACAGACTTTGGTTTCTCAAGCTTGACTCCGCAGCCACACGCTCTGCCACGCTGTGCTTGCGTGTTAAAATGGCACCTTTTCTGGAATTACCCTCAGTTCTCCTCTCTTCAGATTCAAGCAGCAGACCAGGGGAGGAGCATGCTAATACGTTGCTTGGCTGCAAAGAGAAGGGCACTGGATGGTCTTCCCTCTTACCAGGCCCCAGGAGACAGCTCTGTAAACACAGGAAGCCACTCACTGCCAACAGCTCAGGTAGCTCAAACCCCACGCTTAGGATACTGGTCAGAAGTCCTCTAGGTAAGCAGAAACTGCCTCAGAAAAAGACCTCCCTCCACATGTTTGCCGCTTGACCTCTATCCCTGCCACCCCAGAACTAAATCCTCCCTCACACTCACACATACACCCCTTAGTTACTGGTGTATATTCTCAAGGGAGTCAGCCTGGGAAGGCTTCTGAAGAGTGGAGGAAGTGGAACCTATCCAATTCGGTCACAGATTTGTTCACTTTACAACTCTGGCAATTTGGAAAAACAAAAAAATTAAGAAAAAAAGGCAGCCATAAAGAGCAAGGTTAGGCCGGCTCTGATGTCATACCTAACAAGTCTGTTGTGGCAAGAACTGGCCCAGAGACCCGAGGCCTAGCCCACCGGCAGGGGAGGGTTAGAAGTTCCCAGGTCTGATATAGGGCATCACCAAGGGGAAAGCCCTGAAGAGCTGCCTTCCTTCCGAGGGGACTTCACGAAGTGCCACTGCCAGGCCCTCACCGAAAGGAGCGCGTCCCCGCCGTTTCCTCGGGCACCCCCAAGGAACCCCTTACTAGAATTTAGACGTATAGAGACAGGAGATACGAGAGGGGCACAGGGACCCTGGACAGAAGGAATTTGGTTGATGTCTGCGGCCTACCCTGTATGGTTTTCTTGGGAAAACCCCACCACCTTTCTGCTGATAGATGGGGAAACTGAGACCAGGGAGGTGAACTGGCTTCCCACTTCGCACAAATTACTAGGCTCCGCAGGTGCTTTTCTGCAGTGTCGGTGCTCCTACTTCCTTCCCTTCCCAGGCTCCTGGGTCTGTGTCGTGGGGACACAGCCAGCCTTCCTCCCTGTTCGTCGCGCTCGGCCCCGCCGTCCTACCTGCCGAGCCGTCGAGGCCGTCTTTGTCCGCTCGGCCAGGCTCACCGGCGCCCTGCTGCTGGTCGTTGTCGCAGCCGCCCTGGTCCAGGCGCGCCTCGGCGCTGGAGCAGCAGTACCGCAGGGCGCAGCTGCCGCAGCAGATGGTGGCGTCGCCGCCGTCGAAGCGCTCGGGGCACTGGAAGCCGATGCGCCAGACGCCCTGCGCGTCCAGCCAGCCGTGGCAGTACTCGCCGCCCGCCCGCGCGCCCGCCGCCAGCAGCGCGCCCAGCAGCAGTGGCAGCAGCGAGGCGGCGTTCCCGGAGGCTCCGGCCGGGCGGCGGCCGCCCCACATGGTCTCACCCTGGGCGCGGGCGGCGCAGCTCCAGAGGGCCAGGAGAGGTCTCCGGGGAGTCGGGTCTCTCGGTGCTGCGGCCGGGGCCACCTCGCTGGACGCCCTTACTCGCGGGCCACTCCCCCCTGCCCGACGTCCAGGAGCCTCCGACCTGGTACGGCTGTGTCGCGGCTCCTAAGCCATCCCCGCCACTGTCCGGGGTCCCGGCCCTCGGTGGGGCTGCTTTGAGGGGAGTCTCTCGGAGTTGTAGCTCCCGGGGTGTAGTCAGCGGGTTCCCGAGGCTTCGCCCACAACGGGACTCTCCAAGTGCATCCCCGAGGAGACGGTCACTGAGCCCAGGTGGCCTCCAGGCACACCCGCCTAGGGCCGCGCCGCCGGCCTCCAGACGCAGAGCCGAGTCGCAGATTCTGCGTCCCAGCACAAGTCTGGCGCGTCTCCCCTACTTCACTCCCCTCTCAGGGGCCGAGGGTGGCGAAGGAAGCGGGCGGCACGCGCGGAGCTCCGGACAGCAAGTGCAGCGGCCGACAGCGCGCAGCCTCCAAAGCTCCCAACTTTGTCCGCATGGCTCCGGCCTGCAGCCCGAGCACTCCCCCAAGGTGCAGCAAACACCCCTCTGCCGAGCGCCGGGGAAATCCTCTCCCCCTGCCGAGAGCCCGAGCCCGCCGCAGGAGGCGCCGCCGCCGACGCGTCCAGGAGCCGCAGTCCGGGAGCCGCGCGGATCCGCTCGCTGGCCCCGCTGCAGGCTGCGCGGCTGCCGCTGGGCGCGGGTCCAGGCGACTGCTCGCCCAACTGCTCGGCTGCAGCCAGTCCCACAGGCGCGGAAGGCCTCTGTCCGGCTTCCCACGCCTCTGCGCTCCTGGGCCCTCGGAGCTGTGTACGGACGGGAGCTTCCCACGGAAGTTATCAGTAGCTGCTACCGGAGACACAGCGACACAGAAACCCATACACTCCACTCTCCTCCAGGACAAGCTCCAACTCCGCGCGCTGCGGCTGCGCTGCGCTCTCTTATAGTAGCCTGCTGCCCGCGCGCATGCGTACTGCGTTGCCTTCCCTCCCCGCTGGAAGCCCCGAGGTGAGGGAAGTCATCTTTCTCCGACACCCGGGGTGAAGAGCCCTATGTCCATGGACAGTGTGCTGCAGCCTGCGACAGGCACAGGAGAAAAAATAACTAACAATCTAGACCTTGCTAACACAATAATACTAACAATGATAATTACAGCTAACCAAACTTGCTTATTCAAGTTTAGTTTGCTTTTATTATCCTTGACGTTCAAAATTCGATTTGATTCTCAAAACTTCCTAAGGAAGTATTATAATTACTTTCCATTTTACAGATAATGATGTTGCAACTCAGATTAGCTGTCTTCTCTCAGTTTCTAGCAGCTAATGTCCTGGCCACAGCTGGTCACAGACGGGTGTGTGTGTGTGTGGGGGGGGGGGTCAGATCTTCGTGGCGGTTTTCACGCTCTATCCGTGGTGCAGCACGTGGTGCAATGAGGAGGGTTCAGCAAAGATATCACACATTTGGCCACTGTCTGGCTGATCTGTGTCACGTTTTTCCTTCTATATTGGCGGGGGTGGGGGTGGGGTGGGTAATCGAATCCAGCAAAAAGGTGCCTCTGCTCAGCATTTGGCCTTAGTGTACAGACAGCTGCAGTCATGGGAAGACAAGATTCAGACAGACCAGAAACTCCGCTTTGATGAAGGAGAAATTAATAGCTTCTCTCTTGCGGAAGCTGAGACAACAGGTGCTGACGCTATTAAAGCAGCCGAGATTATTTTTAAAGGACCGAGTGCCCTTTCCAATTCCTGGGAGGCAGGAGACCTGAATTACACACCCAGCCCTACCAGTGGAGAATCATGGCATTTTGTTGCCCTCAGTTTCTCCATCTGTAAAATGGAGCACAGCATCGTGAGGACCACCAAGGTTCCCTTCCAAGCCCGTGACTAAAGAGCAGAAAGCAATTGTATTCAGAGCAGTCTGCTCTGAACAACAGCCATTGGGCACTTGTGCATGCCTGGTTAAGGGAGAGACTCAGAAATTGCTGATATTCTTCTACTCCTCCAACAATTAAAGAAAAATCCCTACCCTACTCTCCATCCCTCAGTAAACGAAGACTTACTCTTTTCACTAAACCTTACTATAGTATTGTACTTTATTTCCTTGCATGTTCTGGGGGGTTATTTTAGCTACATTAAAATCATTCCTTTTAAATGCGCCAGTCATCGACTTTTTTAAAAACCTAGTAAATTAACAAATTTCAATATAAATGAATAATTCATTCAAAAATATATGCAGAGTGCTGCCGACGTGTGTGCTCTATTAGGTACTGGGGATTCACTGAGAAACCACTTCCTTCAAACAGAACTTAAAATCTCTGGGATAAAACACAGAAACTGGACAGAAAGACAAAGAATTAAATAAGCAAAGACAATGCAAAGGTGATAAAAGCTATGACCAGTGACGTACAGGGTCAATTTAAGCTTATAACCTGGCGGCAGCAGTGGGGGGAGGGCTCAGAAAAATTATTAGAGAAATAGCATTTAAAATTAGACCCAAAGAAACCAGGGAAAGAATCGGTTTTTAAGACTGAATGATTTTCTTAGAAGATGCCATTAAACCAACTGCCATGGCATTGACTCAGGTTCATGGTGACTCCATGTGTGTCAGAGTATGATGTGCTCCATAGGGTTTGCAATGGCTGATTTTTCAGAAACAGATCACCAGGCTTTTCTTCCGAGGCACCTCTGGGTGGGTCGAACCTCCAACCTCTCATTAGCAGGTTAGCACATTAACCCTTTGGGTTAGTTAACATTTATTGAGAGTTCAACTCTACAAATAAAACATAATTATTATCTTCATTTTACTAATGAGAACACTGAGACACAGAGATTAAACAACTTGCTCAAACCATTCAGATAGAAAGTGTCAGTTTGCCTGGGCTGAACCCAGTTCTACCTGACTCCAAAGCCCACCCACACCCACAGTGGTAATCACCACAGTGTCCACTACAGTAAGCCCATGCTGAGCTGCAAACTGTATACAAATCACCAGATGGCTAGACAGTGTTTTTGTTTTCTCTGCTGCAGCATAGATTGGTTTTGGTGGTGTTCAAAGGGTTAATGCTTTAGTTCTCCACTCTCCTTTGGAAAAAAAATTAATGCAAAGGAACTGTACTTACTTCAGACAATTCCTATACTAAACTCTTTTTACACTGTCCATTTATCCTCTTCTCCAAAACACCACCACTTTGTCAGTTTATTTATGAAGACAGAGATTGTTGAAAGTTTTCACATTAGAATTAATTAGGTGACCTGGTAATACCACAGTTTAAACAAAATAAAAGTTTCCCAAATAGTCCATAATTTAGTCTCTAACTGCCTAACTTGGAAGTGTGCAGCTTGAGCAAACCCCTCCTCTTTCTGATGATTGTTTTTCCTTTATCTCTTAAAAGTTATAACAGGTTTATGAAGATGAAAGAGAAGAGGCCTGTTTTGGTTACTTTACGAGGTGGTTGACAGTCTCCAATGCTCAAAAATACTTTACACTGCCCTGACCTTCCTTCTGACTTGGTCTTAATTCTTTGTGTGTCTAGTGTGTTTTGTGGAAATTTTATAAAATAAATCAGCAAGTACAGGAGATGCTACTGGGAGATATTAAGATGATCTTGTTCCTCCTATGGGCAATGAAAAGAAATTCCCTCGCCCTCCTTAATATACATCTCAACTATTTTACTAGTCTCTTCTGAGAAACTGTGTAACTAGTAATCACAGCATATGGGTAGTAGTAATAATAATTTATTTATAATCAAAACTAAATGTCAGGCAGTCTGCCAAATCTATTTAAACACATATAAAAGAATGCCCCTTCCCTTTAAAAAAGATTGAATTCTACAGATATTAACTGCAAAAGCCCTTCAAGTTATTTTACCTTTCAGTATGTGTCTATATATATATGAATAAAACATAATTGATTTTAAAACAAACTTCTGACATACTTCCAAATGGTACAAGTAGAAAGTCATATAACTAAAGAAATGATTACTTATAACTTTGCTAACTGGAGTTGATACAAATCATGTGGAGGTAATCATACTTCATTTAGCTGGAAGTTCTAAAAGGTGCAAGATCAATAGTGTTTTTCTGTAAGTTTCAGCAAGAGCAGAAGGTTCTTACCATCTGTTCCAGTCAGCAGTCTCGCTTCACTAGGTTCATTCAGTTTCCACCCCCCACCCTCTTTCGCATTTGGTTTACCAGAAGTTCTTTTAAGTGTTTGTCTTACCAAATGAGATCTCAAACCCAAATGAGTATGTTAATTTACATTTCTTTGAATTTTGCCTTGTGGTTACCTAACCTCATCTGAAAATAAAAATGGTCATAAAATTTTGAAAGAAAAAAAAAAAAACTTTCTTGTTGCTTTTAAACTTTTCATCTTTCACCTCCTTACTTTTTCTTGTAATTAATATACTGACTTTCAGAAAAGTAATTTCTATATTTTAAATTCTTTTTTTCTTCTCATCTACCCTTAACTTTAAACATTTAACATACTTCTCTCCCTCTACACACACCACCTCCATGATTTTTTATGGAAATTTCTGTCTTTTTAATTTTTTTGTCTATGTTGGTGAAAGTATATACAGCCAAAGATACACTAATTCAACAATTTCTATATGTAAAATTCATGACACTGGTTACATTCTTCAAGTTGTGCTACCATTCTCTCTATACTTTTATTATTCCACCACCATTATCTTAAACTCACTGCCCCCTAAGCTTCCCATCCAACCTTTCGAGTTGTCATTGAACTTTTTCTATGTCCATTTTGATATCTTCTATTACTGTTTTCTTTGGAGATTCAGAGTTGAAAACCATTGCTGACTTTTTCAAATAATGCCTGCATATCTAAAGGGGTGGCACGAACAAAGTCAACATGTGATGTCAAAAGCCTGTAGCTGTGAAACTAGTAATCCGCCCATGATGTCAAGGGAAGATTCTGAAGCAGGTTCACAAATTTCAGAGAGGCTCTATTGTCTTATTAATGAATACACAGA